CTGTCCTGGCACAGGTGCCCTCACCTGGAGCTCCAGCCCTGCCCCTCACTCCACACTCATCCCTCTCCGTGCACCTGCCCTCCCGCTGTGCACCAGCTCCACGCTCTGCTTTCCTCTTGATAACCTCCCACAGTTTCACAGCTCTACACAGCACCCAGAGCTCTCGGCTCTGCAGCACAGTGCTCCACACAGTACTGACCCTGCCAGGCACAGCTCATGTCGGCACAGCCTCGTGTGCCTCTACATTTACAGGATTTCATCTTAGACTGCTCTGCACTCTGTAATCGCACCTCCACACCAGCCCAGTGTGCAGGCACACCTACTCTTCTGGGTGCTCCTTACACTCACACTACACTGACACAACACACTATGCACTGTAAATATCCCACTCTTCACCATCCAAAATAACTCACTCTATCAGCACCATAGAATTTTTAAGCTTGGAAAAGACCTTTAAGATCATCAAGACCACTCAAATACATCATTAAACCATGTCCTTAAGTGCTGTAACCACATTTTTTGACTACTCCCAGGAATGGTGACTCACACCATACTGCACCCTCATTCTATACCAAATCTGTGTACAGCTCACACTTTCCTCAGGGCTAGACCCCTGTATGTGCCCATGCTTTATTCCCCATATTCCTCTGAGCTTTTGAAAAACCCTGCTGTCTTTGTATTACTGTCTGTAACACCAAATTCCAGCATGTCTGCAGATCAGAACTGTACATAACAACCAGTTCCCCATTTGCAGAAAGGCCTCTAAACATCCCATTTCATACTCCCCACCCTGAGTACACCAAGCACCTGCTACCATTCAGATGCTGACAGAAGAGCTGTCTGTGCTTCCTCCACACTCCAACTTGCCCAGAGAAATAAAGGCATAGCAGTGACACTGCATACTTGGCACTTTGACACCAAGAGCACTATTACTGTTCTTGAGTATTTCATCAAGCAAATACTACATGCTGCCAACCCTGTTATCTCACTGATAATCTTCCCTTGTGCTGCTGCAGCAGCAGCTGCATGACAATGTGCTGAGAGGAGCTGGTCTGTGCTTTTGCACATCTCAATGTCCTTTCATCATTGCTCTGTGATCAAACCTAGCTCCTCATTTCTTTGTGGTCAGGCACTTGGCCTAGCTGGCTATTGTGAATCTTTAGTGATAGATATACATAACAAGATAATTAAAACCACCTCAGGAGTGCTTTACTTGTGGTACAGTTAGAGCAGAGGTTCTGTACTGGATTAATTAGGATTAATTAATTATGATAGTAATGAATCAAATCATACTTTGGTAGCACTTTCAGTATGAGGCACTCCGCCTGCAGGTGAGGCAGCAACCTTCAAATACAGAGGAAGTGAGCAATTAAAGCCAAGTAAAGTTGGAAGTTGTTGCTGGCTCTGCCTGTTTCTGTTCTGGCAAGTCCAGTTGCAAAGTGCCTTGTGCCTGTTGGTCTGCTGAGCAACATCATAAGATACGCTTATGGATTCTCTGCCTCAGCTTCCCAAGATAGGCTGTAGCCTGTCTTATGTTTTAAGGTACTTACATGTTGTCATTACACATCAATGGGGACAAGAGGGACAGCCTGTGCTGCCCTTGAAAGGATCCTGTTTTTCTTTTGCAGAGACATGAAGATACTGGGCTATGCTCACCCAGAAGAGTCAGGGAAGGTCCCCTATGTCCCTTCAGGTCAAGTAGTAACTCAAGAATTTTCTATATTGTGACTTAGATTTCAAAGCTCTCCCACATTCAGGATATGCTTTTATATATAGACATAGAAAAGATTCAAAAGTACTCAGCATCAATTTCTAGTCTGCTGCTACTGTTTAAATAACACAGAAGTGCAAAATGGCCAACTGCTGCATGACCCACCCAAGGCAGTTGCAGAATCCCAGCCCAGAGATCTGACTCATCCTCCTGAGATTTAAACAGCAAGGGATCCCCGCTACTGCACTCTGATCACTTCCATGGACAATATTGCCACATAGAAGCACACCATAAACCCAGTAAGATCTTCCTTGCTTTCCCCTTCCCTTTACATAAGATTTCTAAGAACTCACAGTTCCGTTTCATTTTTGCACAAGACCTGCTAGTCCTAAAGTTACTAAATTTAGGTTCACGGCCTTCATTGAAAGACATCAGAAACCCTTCTAAGTGCTTCAGAAACAGATTTGTCATACCTAAGGCCTCTCTCTAGACACCTTCATTTTCACTGCAAATATGGAACAAAGTGGCATTCAAATCTTGATTAGTGGGTTTCCATGTTTCTTTGCATTTCAGCTGTGATGCAGCATTTGAACTGAGTAATGAGTTCTGTCTTCACATGGTTTGAGGCTCTTCTGCACAAAGATTGATTGGGACTCTCCCTATAGTGTTACAACTCCTCTTACAAACTCATTAAAAAATACTAGATAAGCTCGGTCCTGTACAGGAAAGCATTTGTCATGCCTCACCAGCCTCTTCACAACTATGTCTCTTTTTAGGTCTGCTCTTTTAGCACTTCTCACTTTTAACATGAGGTCCACATTCAAAAGGTTATTGATAGTTTTTACTTTTGGCACAATTTCAAACACTTTGTCAAAATCCTATCAGACAAAATGCAGGATACACAAAAACCAAACCCAACCATTTTATCCTGAGAGTATATTACCCCACTTATAAGGAGACCCACACTATACTGCCACCACCAGCTCAGGCTTACACTCCCTCAACCCTTTCCCTGGGGAAGTAAGAATTGTTCCCTGCACCACCTGTGCAAAAACACCTCGCTCCTCTCCTGGGGAGGGTTTCACTAAGGCAGCAGGATCTGTGCAGCCACAAGGCAGCAGGGAAGCCATGCCCTTAAAACACGAGCAGCTGCTATTCCTGGTCTGGCTGAGTGTTAGTGTGGGGCAGGACAGCTGCCTGCAAGCGCATGTCTACTCTGCCAGAGATTTTGCTGCTCCTCACTCACAGCTCCCCTTCCCCTAAACATCCCTCAGATTTACTACATGGAAACTCACAGCAGAAGTCAGCTGCTGTCCCTCTTTACCTTCACGCAGTGCCAGTGAAAATAAAGGTTGTTCTGGAAGATGCCGTGTATCTTACAGCCCTCCTGAGGTCACAGGCAGTTGGGGTAGGCAGATGGCCCTCCTGAAATATGTTAATAAGGACTGGGAGTAGGGAGGAATGATACAATGCAGCAATTAACAAATGACAGAGAGGAGCAGCAGAGCCTACAGAAATTTTCAAGCTACATAAACAATCTAAAGGGCACAAGCTTAATAGCTGAGACCATATGGATGCTAATTGCATATTACTCCCCCAGAATGGGGAGAGAAAACCCTCCTTGTTTGTAGAACTGCCTCTGTCCCACCTCTGTGCCCAGAAAGGAACTCTAGAGTTGCAAGGCTCAGCACAGTGTCCTTGCTCTGCCATCCAGACAGCAGCAATTCTGGCACCATTTGACTCTCACAACCCCCAACAGGACTACTATATCAACACTTAATACAGTATCTTTATACCTTTTCTGCAAGGGACTATCCAGGTTGCAAGAGGCTGACAGTCTCTCTACCCCCATGAACTTCCTACCCTCTTTATGGACTGGTATTCCTTGGATCCTTCATCCCAGTTAACACGACGTTAGGACACATCCCTCAGCCCTGAGGACCATGGGATCTGGAACTGCCTGACCTCATCACTTCCCCCTAAATGTGTAGAGCCTCTCCTTCCTCTGCAGATGTAGCTGTGCAGCTACACTTAAGGAGAAGAGGGAGGCAGACAGAAAGCAATGTGCTTTCAGGTTTTCCCTCCCCAAACCATTGCTTGAGGCTGTGCAGGTAACAGTGCTAAAAGTGGAGGGGAGAGCAAAGGCATGGGACACGTTAAGCCACAGGCAGGGCAAACACAAGGAATACAGCTGCATTAGTGGCTGCTCTTTAGGTATCATTTTGTGCTGCACACATTTGACAACTACAAAATTAGAACAGCAGTGAAAGACTGAAAACTCCTGCAAAATTCCTAAGCCCAGGAAGCAAAGGTAGAATCTTGACAGAGGCCTGTGCAACATCAGGTAAATTCAAATTAATCCTTGAAATAATACCTCTAACTTCTACCACAGCTTGATTTGGTCCAGGGCTGCAAGAAGGCTGCTCAGTGGAATGGTTTGATTTAATTTACATCTGATTCCTCTGGTGTATACCAACTCCTTATATATGACCGTGAATTTAACATAGTCCTGAAAGCAGACTTGGGATAAAATAAACCATCAACTTGCTGGCATAAGGAAATACTGGTTTAGATAATCCCATTATCAGAATCACTTCTCCTTTAATACAGCACTTTCAAAGCAAGAAGGTAAACATGAGAGCAAAATAAGTGGCAAGCCAGGCTCTAGAGAGACCTTGGTTTATCTGTAGGAAGGGAACAATAGTACTTGATGAGTTATTTTGGGGTGCTCAGGAGTAAAGCAGAGATGATCGATGACATACTATCCTGGACAGTTGTGCTCTCGCAGCTGGGATCTAGTCACCAGCCCAAGACATTTCCTGTCCTCTCCCAACCACAAGGATAACTGCTTCCCATGACAAAGGAACCTGCTGGCCCAGCACCAGACCCTACAGCTCTAAGAGTGATGAA